CACAAGCACATACCCGAACACAGATCTGTCTTGATATTTTTGTGAGGACATTGTATCAATAGCATCAGTTTCTTAAACAGGAGCTTAGAGATATTGTTTCACATATTTAGAAATATATTTCTTATGACACTCGTTCTACAAATATGGAGAAGGTTCAAAGAAAGAAATAGTTCATCTTAAAATACAGGCTATTTTTAAGGGGGAAAGGCACGTCCCATGTACAGAGGCATTGGTCCTCGCAGCGGGTGGCCCGGCTTAGAATGGATTTCTGGCTCTATCCACTGTACTGTCTCTCCAAAAAAAGCACCAAAGCCCAACAAAATTTGATTTTTAAATTAGTTATGTGGGCCAGCCTACAAGCCAAGTAAATTTCTTCAAAACCCAAATATTCTTATACTACGCCTAAACCATATTTCTAACTTAATCCATACGAAAGCACTTTAAAAAAATACAGCAACCAAGACAAACCAACTAAAACTCGCCTGACAGAGGAGCACAATTTTACCAGTCTAGTCAGATATGAAGAGTTTAATGAAATATCACTTGCTGTTTACATAAACTGTACTCGCAAACACATCTACTACACCAATGGTATACTTAATATTTATACCGAGCTAGACGCAAACATCCAGTTTGTAAACAAGTGTGTTAATTTGTGATTAATGAAAACTCTTTATATCCATCTAATCTAAAGTAATCAAATTAATTAATCTAATTTTAAAAGCAAACAAAAACATCACCTGTAAAAGGATGTAAAAGCTGTAAGAGAGTTAAGTGCTTTCACACAGCAATATACATATGAGCTTAAACTTCAGAAAAAAATAATAACTCATCAAATAGTGTGTATATGTGTGTGCGTGCGCGTGTGTGTGCGTGCGCGTGTAAGCCTTATCAGCTGAGCTTGGAACAGGTTATACCTTCCTTCCTCATGTTTCTCCTGAAGCCACTCATTCACTCCGTGCTTGTGCCGGCACCTGAGAGCAGATTATTGTTTCGGAGACTTGCAGCAGAACACACAGAGTAAGTAGATCTCCTCTCCTCCGCTCTAATCTAATCAAATTTGATGTTTCCAAACACACAGCAGCTGGCTAAAGGCACAGCAATGATACCCAAGGAACAAAGCCCACGCTTGTTGCTGGAGACTTACCTAAGCTTCTCCAATTCCTGTCTCAATTTAGCATCCCCCTCCCTAAAGCTTAACTCTGGAAAAAACAAGAAAGCAATTTAACGGGCTGACACTGAGAGTGTGTGTGCGCTGAGGTGTTTATGTGTAATAACCTCAAAATTGTCTGTTTGTGAAGCATGGTGTCCTATATGGGCTGATGGGGGAGAGTCCCCCATGACCCTATGCTAAATTTTAGGCAACACAAAATCAAACACCAAAAGACAACACTGACACAAATAACCACTTCAAATATTTTGGCCCTCAGAATATATGTCAACAGTAGAAAACAATAATAGAATGACTATTAACTCTTCATTCACTGGTATTGGGTGAGGTGAGTTTACAAGTCTAAATGTTATGTAATTAGCTACAAGTAACTACAAAAATGTTGAGAGTACATTTGATTTGGTTAAGATAGGTGAAGACTTTTTATTATTAAAACATATTATGCATTTTCTCTCTTCATGTGAATAAAAAGGTGGCAGGGCTCTTTGATACACTATATGTACATCAAATCATTTCACTTCTCTTCAGTACTGCAGAGGTCCTTTCATCACATCGACCTATCCAGCTCTCACTTTGATCTCATACTAACGAGGGGCTCATTAATTTCTAATCAAAGGGTCCTGATTTACTGCAGGTCCACTGTGGATATTCAGAACTCCTTACACAGAGAGTAGATGGGGTCATCACTTTTAAAACAATACATCTGAAGACCAGGGGGCACATGAGTGCTCGCAAAAACACACAATGTGAAAGGGTTGCTGTTTCATTCTGGTCACTTTTTTTTTTTAATTAAAAAACAAACATAAGATTCTAGTGCCCTAAACATTTTAGAGATTGAGTGGAAAGAAAAAGAGACGAGGGAGAAAGAGATGGAACGGCATGAAGACTGAAAAGAGAGCTGCTTTGTGTTAAAGCATGGCAAAAACTCCCCTAAACTACATCTGGAAAGAAGACACTATCTCACTGTGAGTTAAGAAGTGTGTGTGTGTGTGTGTGTGTGTGTGTGTGTGTGTGTGTGCGTGTGTGCGTGCGTAGTGCGTACTTGCATGCAGGAATGGCCGTTCCGCCATGTTCCAGATAATTCCACACACTGGCAGGTCCACACTCTGTCTCTTTACCTAGGGTGAGCTCCGTGGACACAGCATCAGTTACTCTCTGTGATTTTGTGTAAGTGTCCAGGCTTAGAGAAACAGGCGACTGTGCCTGCCTGTCAGACTGTTAAACAACAAACTCTGCCTCAGGACTCGGAACCTGCAGCTGGTGAGAGTTAGTGAAGCAAACCACAAGTTTTATCATTAAAAAAAACACACTCACCATATCAGACTAATCAGTCTTATCTCTTAAGATTTGTTCCTAGACTCAGAATCATGAAAACATCATGTAAAAACTGGTGTAAGCACCAGAATATCCAAAATAAATTCCCTTAAGAAACGGAATTGCATAAACGTCATGAAAAACATATCTCAAGTTAGTGTTAGAGTATCTAATAAGAGTGTTATCATGTGCTTTCATGTGCCTTCAGTATGATCTGAATAGACAAGAAAATCAAGATAAAGAGAACACTGAAAGGTGTTTATGATTAAAACACAAGCAGCTCATTAAGAATCAAAATAAATGAAATAGTATCTGCAAAATAATAAAGATAAATAGATAAATACTTTATTCATCTCCTGGGGGAAATTCAGGAGTGTCTCATAGCTCACGAGTTAGAAAAATAGAACAAACAGTGTCAGGCAAACTATCACCTCATTGTCAACTCTTTTTACATATTTCAATACTTTTAACAGTATGATGGTTTAGCATGTGTCTGCTGAATTTATTGTTATTACTTAATTGTGTATTTTTGACATTGTAGGATACAACAGAGTCAAGAGGAGAATTTGGCTTAAAAAATCCATTGATTGAACACTGTAAGGTTACTGATGTCTCACACTCATCCTAACCCAGTTCAAAATGTCGGCTCGATATGACAAATACACTTAGGTTCAAAAGAAAGGCACAGGTGTACTTGTAGGAAAATTATTCAGATCCAATACTTGACTCAAACAAGAGACAACAAAGGTCACGAGACAAAAGACAGCAGTTTAACAGCCATGCCCATACATCTGTGTCACAGTGCCATCTAGCTGACACATTTAGAAATGCTATATTTTTAGCATTTTCTTTAGTGATTGCGAATGCCTTATGTCTGATATAAATAGAGGTTTCTAGATCACAAAAAAAAACACTCATGTCTTCTATGTATTTTCCAACATATGGTGTACAAGACCTTGGATAAGAATTTCCTCTTCTAAATGAAACGGGAAACACAAGATGTATTTTTGTCATGCATAAAGCAGTCAGGTTTGAATATTGGCAGGTTGGCACAACAAGAGATGCATAGTGTAACCATAAGTGTAATGTTACACTGGCTTTATGGATAAAATGACAGTTAGCATAAAAAGAATGCACAGAAAGTGTAGCACAAGAAGAGTCGTTAAGGCAGCAGATGCTGCAGTAGTCTACTCAATGATGCCATAAAGTATGTGCTGCCAGCAAGCACATGTATACACACCAACAAGCAAGCACGCACACACAAACCACACACATCATGCCTTGCGCTCCTTGGATTTGGGCACTTTCTGAACCACAGAGTGTTAAATAAACCAGAGGAAGAATTCCATGTAGTCGACACAGATTGTGTGTGTGTGTGTGTGTGTGTGTGTGTGTGTGGTGTGTGTGTGTGTGTGTGTGTGTGTGTGTGTGTTGTGTGTGTTGTGTGTGTGTTGGGAGCAGAACAGAGTGGTGTCTGTTAAAGGGCAGTCCTGAGTAAACACACACACATGCACACCCACCACACAACCTCTGCTTAAAATCTATTTGCTCATGTAATTCACAGAGTCCAGTAGAGTAGGTATGGCAACAGATACGCTCAACCAATATGGCACTGCCTCTTCAGATAGATTACTAATTAGCTAAATGTAATACAGCATTCATTTATAGCACCGGTCATAATGTCACTTGTTATCTTTCAGCTGTATATCACCAATGATCATTTTTAGCTATTCAGTGTACTGAAGCCAGATTACATTTTAACACTTTCCTGAAATATTTTTACAAACATCTAGGTGTAGCCTACATTGCTTTGTCAATGCCACCATAGCAACCTGTGAGTAAGATGTCATTCAAGTAGGCTATACAGTTTGTTCACATCAACATGGTTATGGAGGCTAATAGGCCTACTAGTGTCTAAATTCCATATTGCATTATAATGATAGTAGGCAGTTTAAATATGTAGTTTTGACACTACTACAACTAAAATATTAGTAAATAAAACAAAAATCTGTTTCCAAATTATAATATTCCGACTTTGTACGTACGTTACGGCTAATAACTACACTACTGTAATACTGTAATATTTACAGTCTATGCTACACTATCATCCCATGATGCAGTGCACAAATAAATAGATAATGTAGGCCTACACACAGCTCTCACAGCATTTTTGCCTTTTTTTTTTCATGTTTTAATATTTACAGAAAGATTTTAGAAGATGTGTAAATGACTTGAGAAACAGCACAAAAATAAATTATCAGGGAAAAAAAGCACTGGTGAACCATAAACAATAATGATGATAATAATAATAATGATAATATAATAATAATAATAATAATAATAATAATAATAATAATATACCGTCAATTAAAATGTTAAAGTCATGAAATAATAACTAGTAATTTTATTTAATAACCTACCCAGAAACTTTCCAAATGTGCAGCATCTTGTTTGAAGCTGTAGACTCCACGCATTGGAGCGTCAAAGTGACGTCTGACGTAACCGTGATGTGACGTACAATCCGTTTCCTAAACTTCCGCCTTGCACGCGTGTTTACCAAAAAATGTGGATACCCGAGCTGCCGAAGAAACAGTTATTATAACAATATTATAGCAGTAGCTGTTCGTGTTAAGGTGGTAATATGGGTAAATTAAATGTCGTGGTGCTGAGATATTTAAGTCGAGATGACTTCCGGGTCCTCACAGCGGTAAGTTAGATAACTTGTGTGATATCATGTGTTAGGCTAACTTGGTAGCTTTAGCCATAAATACATCCACCAACTTGGTCATGAACATTTAAAACGTTACAAGATGAATGCGTGCTATAGCACTATTCGTTTCGCTTTTTTCTTGGGATTACAGAGCTAAGAAAAGGTTAAATGCATTACATTATTAATAGATAATACGGTTATCAAGCAGACACACATGTTGTGTAGTTACATAGATTCAAAGGTTTTTATTTGTCACATGCTCATACAGTGAAATGTAAAGACTGTTCCGCTTAAAGATTAACTTTGTGCGAAATTTCTGTACTTGATTATTGGACAGAAAGTGGACTTCATCTTCTGTGCCTAATCATTTACTCCTCCCTTGATATTGTGAAAAGTAGCCTCCCTTAGAAAGCATAGGAATGATAACAGCAACCCAAAACAGTTTCAACATACATGTTAGATTATAAGTAGTGTCTCTGTAAATGGATTTACATATATATCAAACTGTAACATGAATACAGACTTGAAATTAAGCCTTGTAATGAACCAGCTTCCTCTTCTTGTAGGTTGAGATGGGAATGAAGAACCATGAAATTGTTCCAGTGAGTCTCCTGTCTTCCATCGCCAGCCTCAAACATGGTGGCTGCAACAAGATCCTCAGAGAGCTTGTCAAACACAAACTGGTGGCCTACGAATGCACGAAAAGTAATAAAACACTCCAACATCATTAGTCCTGTCAGAAAAGATGCATCTAAGAAGTGTTTCTAATGTGAAATGTAAATGTTAATTTTAGGTGTGCAGGGCTACAGATTGAACTATGGAGGATATGACTACCTGGCTCTGAAGACTTTGTGCTCAAGAGAAGTGGTCTTCTCAGTTGGCAACCAGATGGGTGTGGGTAAAGAGTCAGGTAAGAAAAGAAAGCACAACAGGAATGCAATCTGTATGTCCTGTGTAAGTTCTCTTAAAATAATGGCATAATACATGAATATTTTTATTGATATTTCCTGGTATTTCAATGTGGATTTATTATATAAAATATATATATATTTATTGAGGTTGTTCATAATCAAGAAACACTCAGAAGTCTTTATAACTGTCATGTTTCTAAAGTCACAGCTGGTATTAGCAGCACTGAAGTGTGTAATGAATTCCCTTGATCTTGATGTGAATTGCGTTTGTTCTCTGTTCAGGCTTTTGAAGTTTAGGTCGGCTTTATAAGACAATATTTATTGTAATATTTTTCTGTGTCCACCTCCTTAGATATATATATTGTGGCAAGTCCAAACGGAGAGCAGTACGCTTTGAAGCTTCACCGATTGGGTCGCACCTCCTTCAGGAACTTGAAAAACAAGAGAGATTACCACAAACACAGGAAGAATATGTCCTGGCTCTACCTCTCACGCCTTTCTGCCATGAGAGAGTATGCCTACATGAAGGTAGCAAATCAGAAAAGAAACACATGTATAACTTTCAGAAAATAGGTAGAAAATGTCACCAGCCATTCAAAAAATGTGTTTTTGTGTGATGCATTATTTGATACATCTCTTTAATTTCAGGCCTTGTATGATCGGGGCTTTCCAGTTCCCAAACCAGTGGACTATAACAGACATGCTTTGGTGATGGAGCTCATCAATGGATATCCACTGTATGTAAACAACAAGACGTCCTTCTCTGACTTTATATATTTATCTAGTTTTAGTAATACTATACTCTTCCTACTCTGTGCTCCGTTTAATAGTTTCTTTGTATTGTCTCAATCCTTCAGGTGTCAGGTGCATGAGCTGCAAGATCCACCGGCCCTGTACAACGAGTTCATGGAGCTCATAGTCAAATTGGCCAATCACGGTTTGATTCACGGAGACTTTAACGAGTTCAACCTTATGTTGGACGACCAGGACCACATCACTATGATTGACTTCCCTCAGATGGTGTCCACCTCACATGCCAATGCTGAATGGTTGGTTTCTCTGTTACAATCATACATTCACAACAAATCAAACTCATAAATCCACCAAATGGAATTATTTGAAGCTAACCTTTTCTCATTTTGTTTACAGGTATTTTGACAGAGATGTCAAATGTATCAGAGATTTCTTTGCAAGGCGGTATAACTACGAGAGTGAGCTCTACCCAACCTTCAAAGACATCAGGTAACTCTTTTATTTACTGTTGTAATAAAACACCAAAATACATGGATACTTATGGTGATGAGTTTTCAAGAGCAAACATTTTATACAAAGACAAAAAGAAAATCCTTATTTTTTGTTGCTTATTGTGCATATCTATATTTATTCCAAATCTGATTTGCAGAGAAACACTAACCTGATCTTTTACTGTCACTGTTTTTTTTTCCTAAAGGCGGTCTTGTTCTCTTGATATAGAAGTTTCAGCGAGTGGCTTCACCAAAGATATGGAAAGAGACAGTGCATTGCTTCACCCAGCTGGACCTGAGGAAGAGGATGAGGAGGAGGAGGAGGATGATGATGAAACAGAGAGTGATGACAAAGAGGCAACAGATGAGGAAGCAGAAAAAGAAGGAGAGAGTGTGGTCTTGGATGAATATAAACATGCAATGTTGGAACTGGAAGGGCTCAAAGTCTGTGACATACAAGAAGACAAACAGGATGATAAAATAGAGGCTGGAGAAGTGGAAGAGCAAAAAGCGACTGAGACAAAGCTCACTGCCAGAAGTGATGAAGTGACAGAGGAGGACAAAGAGGGAGAGCTGGATGAGGCAGAGGATGAGTGTCCAGAGCTGGCAGACCTTTCTACCTGCAACCAAGAGTTCAAGCCCTTCAGGTAATCACAACGGAAAGTTAATGTAAGTTAGCATATTTAATAGGATAGTAGTAAGTGTGAATACTCCAAACCTAGCCGTGATTCAGAGCCATCACATTTTTTTGACAACTATTTAGCAACAGATCAGTTCATGATCTTTTTCAAATGCGTCTTCACAATCAAATCAAATAAGTTCAAATTTAAATAATCTTGTTTCTGATGATATGATTGCTGGGTAACTTAGAAGTTGCTCCTGTCATTTCATTAAAAAAAGCTCTCATAATTTGTTTCTAGTGCGTGCATGATTGATAACCCGTGCAAGTTGAACCACAACAGTGCATTTTTGTGTTGTGTTGGCATATCAAGCCCCAACACTTAATCCATGCAACAAAAACATTGTCACTAATACAGTTCTGTACTTTCCCAGATGATTGAGAAGATCTGCTGGTTTAGCTCGGTTGATCCATGTGTAGCCCAGTCTCTCCTCCCAGTCCCAACATTTACTGTCTCTCTTTAGCTGTCCCCTCGATTAAGGCAAAAAAGCGAAAGACAAAATCTAAAATAAATTACATACAAATAGAATTATTTTATTGAATAGCATAAGTGTGCAGTCTGAACTTTTTAGCTGAACGTGTCTTTTGGTTGCCTACATTGACTTGAATACCTACCCTGCTTTTATTTTATTGTTTATTTGTTTTTGTCTTGCAGAGACTCTGACAGTCTTCTTCACATGACAGAACACACCAGGAGGAGGTCAGACAGCGAGGCCACAATGGGTAGCATAGGGAGCTGCTCTACCATACCACCAGTAAGTAAAGGGGAAACTACTACAGTACCATCATATAAAGCAGTTTTGCAGCAATCCCAGTCACAGTATATGACAAACTAGTAAATGTCCAGTAGGTGGTGCTAAAGAGCTTTTTTGTTGTTGTTTTTAAATTATTAAATAATGTGAAAGGTGACTTGTAGCAGACAAAACAAGTATACATAATGTTGTGTCTGCCTCACAGAGACAGACAGTGCGTACATTTCACTGTAGTGAACTGCTGTGGTTGTTTTTTTGTGTGTCCTGCAGGAGGTGGTCCGTCAGAAGGTGCGGAGGCAGCTCACTCAACAGCAGAAGGCATCACAAAGGCGACGTTTGCAGAAAGGAGAGGCCAACTTGGTGACCAAATCCAGGAGAGAGAACCAAAATAACATCAAGTCTAGTATGGAGAGTGCCTCATTCTGGGGATAAATGGGACAGATGGAATTCATGTCAACATGTTGTTTGTGTGGTCTGTTCATTCCTCCACTCCTTTTTCTGATGACACTCAAACACATGATGGATGATGGAAAAAGACTCAGGAGATTCTCTGTGCCACAGCTCAACTGGCATGTCCTCTCATGAAAATAAACAAGAATGAGGAAACTTTTAACTATTTCTTCCGAAACTATCTTATTCATCATACAGTTTAATGTAAATATCAACTACTTACTTTAATGATGAATTATGATGGGTAATTAAACTTTCCAAACATTACTAATGAGTTGTTGTTGTTTTTTTTCAATTAGAAGGGTCTAACAAGTATCAAAACTAATGTCTAAGGGCATTGCATCCACCTGTACTAAACATGTATGCAAGTCAAGTAAGCACTTTCAATGATTCTCCAAGAAGGGCTTAAAACATTAGAAACAAATGAGTCACTTTTCCTATTTCCGTTTCAAGTTCATTCTCAATCAGTGTTTACCGGACATAGTGACTGATGTCAAGGAGTTAATGAAGAGCTTTTATGTATGTTAAAGTCTTCCACCATTATGAAACTCTGAATGGATGGCTACCTCCACCCTCCCAGCAACCAATCAAAAAGCAGAGACTGGCACAAGCATGTGGGAACATACATGCTCCACAACGCACCCAAACATTCAGCATCAAAATGTGCAGAAAATACACACATTACCCCTTCACTGTGTCACTATGAAACTACCAAAACAGAGTGAGGTATGACATAAAAAAGAATGAGAGAACAGGACTTTTCGGGAGCATAGAAAACACTTTCTCAGAATTTGGTTCATTTATGTGTAAGAGGCTTTCAGCAGGCGGGTGAATTCAGATTTGAACAATGGCCTTTCATATTGAAGAGGGTGAATGGAGCTCAGACTCAGGGCTCCACGGGTTCAAATAAGTGTGTCAAGTAGAAAGTATCCCACCCCCACAACACATCTCAAACTCTACATGTTGGTTAAACTATTTTATATAAAATCAAAGACACCTCCAGTTGTATTCTGGGTTGTTACTCTGTATGGTATGCTGCTGTTTGTGGTTCAACTTTGTGCAGGTCTTTTAACTGTTAGATTCTGTTTAGGGATTAACCAGCTGCACAACCCGAGGGGAGGGGCTCAGCATTCCTGTCCTGCACCTCTGTGTGTGTGTGTGTGTGCGCGCGCGCTTGTATGTGTGTGTATTATATGTGTAGAAAGAGTGAGGGGCCCTCTGAGCTAATTGGCAGTGAGGTTGACAAAGGTGGTCCGCTTCAAAAAAGAAACCATGGTGAGATGTTCACACAGGAGAGGAGGGGGAGAAAGGGAGTTTGGGAGACTGACTGGAAGGGCTTCCTAATTTGAGTCTATTCCCTTCGATGTTCCCATCCTGAGCAGCATTGCTGTTGGTATTTGCTTATTTCTGCGATCATGTGTGCCTCTTTTTAAGGACCATTCTGATGAGAAAAGTAAACTCAATGAGGTAGCTCTGGAAGTAAATGCTGGCTGAGGATGAATAAAGTCCAAGAGGAGGAGAGCATCATGTCATATCTGTCAAAGAGTGAGACTGAAACCAACTCAAAAGACCGTAAGTACCTGAGAAACTTTATGTAAGTTTATTAAGAAAGTTTTTAAAAGAACCTTATAACTGAGCTTATCACTGAACTAAAAATAACATAAAGATAGACACAACAATTAAATGTTTTCACATATCTGTCTTGTATTTCCTGCAATATATTCCTCAAACTGTGCTTTTCAGGTTAACGCTGCTGCCATAGACAGAGCTGCTGGAATAGTTTGGCACAAAAGTAAAGGACATGGGAAATGTTTCAACCTAATTCAGGGTCAGAGAGAGTCCAAAGGATTTAACAAATGCTGATTTGAGTTTCTTCAAGCTGTTGAATCTAGTCAAATGCTAGCTAACAGACATCTGGCTTGTATATTTAGGTTTAACATTCAGAGCTGTCTTCGTTTTGACATGTGTTCTTATTATATGTGTGCAGTGAATGTAGTGGCCATGCTCCATAACTTCTGGGAGCGGAGGCAGATGAGTCAGTCAAACGGCTCCTCTTCTGAGTCGGATGGTTCTGTTGGAGACGCAGTGATCCATGCAGAAAGTTTGCTGCTCTATGAGTCTGCACCATCCCCCGGTCCCCCATACGTCTGCTTTGTCACCCTGCCCGGAGGAAGCTGCTTTGGCAACTATAAGGTGTGTTGGACATCCCCAGAGCTGTCTGGAAATATATTCACACCTGGTGGTTGACTGCACTGTGTCACAAGTTTTCCTTTCTGTGAGAGTGGAAATATAATTGAGTGATAAAAGATTGTGATTATGTTAGAAGTTATTTAAGATTGTTGATGCAGGGGATGCACGTCAAACTGTAACACCCCCTGTGAATAACAGCATTATATCAACAACAGTTTATTCCTCTATGTAAATGACTTGTAGCTGCTGTTTTATGTGACAATAAGTTTCTACATACACCTTACATATCTGTAAATGTTTCCTTACTTGTATCTGCAATTGCTTCTAGTCATTTGCTGCAGAAGCACAAAGTCAATTTCAACCCCCAGAATTAAGGTTTCTTACAAACTGTTTGTGTTTGGGAAATGTTGCATTATAACTGTATTACAAGGCTTTCAGTGGCTATGAGGTGACACGTTTAGGGTTGTTTTAAAGTGACGCTTTTTGAATCCCACAATTTCAATAAGCTTATTGTGACCCAGACTGCAGTTGGCAGCTCAGAGAGGTCATGTGATCTCATTGGTGATTTGTGTTCTGATCCCAAGATTAGCTGCAATGAAGTGTGAATTCATTCAAATGAAAATAAGCATGGATTGACATTTGCAGACATTAGTCAGGCTTACACTCATCAGCAGACCCTGACATTCTCCTTAAAGTGATGAAGTCTGTTACTTCTATCTTATAGACCCTTTTTGACACATTAAACCCTCATAATGATCCTCTCCTCCTCAGGTGTGTGACAGTCAGGCACAGGCTCGGAGGGATGCGGCCCGTGTGGCTCTGATGAACTCGCTGGTGAATGAGCTGCCATGTCGACGCATCACCTCCCAGTTCATAATGCAGAGTTTGCAGCAGGCGGCCACAGACAGTGCTGTGAGTGTGAGGCCAACACAGACACACAGTATTCAACTTGTTTTTTTAGAGTTCAAACTCAAGTTTTGAGTTGCACTGTTGTCTCTGTTCAGGTCTCTATTGAAGATGCATGTAATTCAAGCACCAGCGTTGGGACCTACAGTCTGCTGCTCCACACATACATAGGGCGGACCATGCTGGAGTTCCAGGTAAAACATGAAGTCAAGACATATTTTGTAAAATGGTATTTTTCTTGTACTCATGCTCGTAAATCATGTGGAAGCATGTGGTGATAGTGTGGAGATCAATTTACTGTGAGGTATTCAGGCTTTCTGAAGTGCTACTTTGCACTGAGGGACTAAAACTAGTGTATATATATTTTGACACAGTTAGACATTAGGAAGCCAAACATGACAAAATACACAATCACTGGGTGGTTATCCCACCCTCCATCGTTAGCACAACACTCTTGGTTATTTTTTTTTCGCATATTCCCATTCTGTCTCGCTCTCAGGTCAGCCATGGCAGGAAGTTCAGGTATGAAACAGCTAACATTTCTACCTTTGTGTATACAGGCATAGATCTGCAGACAGAGGGCTATTAACAAAAGGAAATGGGTTCATTATCATTCCTGGCAAAAAAAATGGATAGAAAAATGAAGAACTTCCAAGTAATACACAAACCTTCATAAGTGAACACTTTTTAGAGAATTTAGAATCTCTCCTCACAAAACCTCGTCTACAATATATACACAGCTGTCAGTGCATACACTTTATGTATCAATAACATAAAGCATGTTATGTCATTGATACACAAAGAGGTAGATTGGTCACATAGAGCAGAATCATAAACATGTAACACAGGTCAGAAAAAAATGTTGTGAAAATACTGTTAAAGTGCCAGCAGGTACAAGATGGACTTTATCCCAGGAAAACTTACACGCCATTATTTTCCATCTGTGTCTCATTTGATCAATTTGAGTCAATCTGCAGCCTCTCTCTCTTTTTAACACTAATGTCACCAGCTCTTAACACGTGGCAGCTACACTGTGAATAAATCAGAGTGGCAACTACTCTAAAAAAAACTTTTTTTTTTTTCAAACTAATCACCCACAGTTTATATGTGGGTTCAGGAAACAGCCCTTTCATATATTATCTTTGTCAGACCGATAAATACACAGAGCTGGATGTTTAGGTTAGGAAATCAAGTCTTGAGCATTACTTTCTCTCCCTATGTGTTTTATTATTAACCACTTTTCTGCCCTCTCTTTCCCTCTGTAGGAGATGATGACCATTTTCCAGTTGTTGCACTGGAACGGGACACTTAAAGCTCTGAGGGAAAGACAGTGCTCTCGACAGGTAAACATGTCTCTCCACTGGTTTTAGATGATTTGGATGAATCGTCAGTTCTTTGCTGTGCAGTAAAGATGATTTATTTCTCTATTTTCCTCCAGAGTGTGATTGCTTATTACTCTCGGAGAGGGCTCGATGAGTACATTCGCAGCAGCTTGGCTCTGGATTGGCTCGGACGTGAGCAGAAGTCACCGGGGCGACTCGGGGAGGAGCTGCAGGTAGCGCAGAAGGAGCTGATGTTGGCCCAGCGGCGAGGCATAGAGCTGCGCTTCTACAAGGAGAAGACAGAGATCCTTAGCTTGGCCCTGAGTCAGGCATATATTCACCACACACCTGAGGACTTCAACCAGGTGCAGAGTAATACATACAATCAAGAGCAGCTTCCTTTACACACGTTATGTAGCCAGGACACAGAAGTCCAAATAACTCCACCCAGAAGTCCTACACAGACCATCCACAAAAACACAAAGCAATCACTCTGTCAAACCTCTGGCAATCACACATCTCACAACAGCCCTAGACCGTACCCACAGCAGACCTTTGATACTTTAAATAACTTTGACTGGACTTAAGCAGAACACAGAGGACGGACAATAAATGATCAAATTTGACTAAAAATTGCGCTCTGCCACTCACAAAAATCTGTTTGGAGGACAGAAAATGAGCACAGTTAGTGTCCTAAGAGTTCTGTTATGATGAGGGATACCTATTTGTGTTTATTTTTTATTTTATTTACAATTCCCTAACCTTACTAACATTCTGTTCTGACTGTAGAACTAAAACTAAAACAAATGTGTACAATATTAACAACTTCAACCACAAGAAATAGAGCCT